ATACAAAGCAAATAATGGAGCATATTCATTAGACAGACAAAGAACCTGCTGCATTTTAAATCACATACTTCCTCAATACTCGCTGCTTTGAGCATATAAGCACGTTCATGCATTCACGTTCATGCTTACCCTCAATAGCTGCCTCATTGGAAGCAAAATGTAGGAAAAGGATTACAAGCTTATTTCCAACCAGCAGACGTTATGTTACCACAGCTGATGGAAACACTACTGCTAGCTAGTTACATTGTTTGTCTTTTGTGTTGGTTTGGTGTCATTAGGTCTGTGATGTATCACAATATGCATGAAAATGCTGGTAAAATTTTTTACATGACATAAAAATGTCATAAGGTAAGATCAATGCTATACAATGAGGCAATCCTGGGCATGTCTGAGAGTAAGAGCAGTTTAGTATCTACAAAGGAGCTACGTCAACAACCTCCAAAAGGCACAGTGCACATCCCACAACGCTTGATTCACACACTACAGAAGTACAACAACAAAGCATTCAAACAGAAGTTTGGGACATTTATGTCTGCTAGATGCTAACACACATCTTTGTCTCTGTTATACAATCCATCCACTTCAGGGTGGCGGGGTAAATGTCCCACGCTGGACAGCTCGCCAATCTATAACAGGGCTAACACATAAAGACAGACAACCATTCACATTAACATTTACACCTATGGACAACTTAGAAGCATCAATTAACCCAACCCCACTAACTGCATGTACTTGGACTGTGGGAGGAAGCTGGAGTACCCAGAGAAAAATCAGACAAATCAGGCTTAATCCATCTTTAACACCATAAAGATGCTGCATGAAGCACGTCAAAGAAACGATCTAAACCCACGGTTCACTGTCCGTTCATAATGCGAACGCACAATGAAAGTTTAAAGGCACACGCAGCTCAGAGTCAAGCAGCTCACAGTATAAGAGGATGAACCCGTTTCTCTTCCAGGGAAAAACATCCAGATCGGTTCCACTTAAACGGATCAACAGTAATGTGTCTGCTTCCATTTAAACAGCACAGTGATGTGGAGCTGATGGACTGCACGCTGCCAAACACCCTCACATTCATACAGCACGATGCAGGAAACCTTTTGCATGTACACAACATGCTAAGCACATCATAACAAACTGAGCGTGAAATATTTTGAAGGGAGGATATGAGTGAAGTGAAAAGAGGCCACAATGCTTGTTTTATGCCCTCATCTTAATAAAATGAGGGTAGGAGGTCAAGCTCATGAGCGCAGTTACATGACACCTAAAGCCAAACAGTGCCATGAACAACTGAAAAAGTAAAACCACACTAAAAGTTCTCGACTGTGCTTTTCCCAGCAGGCCCTAAACAGTCATTCTTTCATGGTGTGTATCAAGAGGAAGAACTTACAACATGAAACCTTCAAAGCTTCCAAATGTTTGAGGACCAGGTGACAGGAATCCAGCGTCACTTTAAAAGCGATACAAAAGCGATCACTTTACATGTTAACACAAAGTATGACAGAGGGAGTCGGGAGGCTTTCATCAGGCCGGGCACACCACAAACACAAACACGCAGACAAAACGTCTGCATGTAAAAGACAATGAAACGCAGGAGACTGGAGTCTCCCCACTGACAGAGTGGAAGCCATTTCCACCCACACACATTTACACTAACAAAAGGAAACCTTTGACCGTCTGTGACTCACATGTCTGATCCAAACGGCGGTGGATGATGACGATAATTCAGCAATTAAGATAAAAATGAGAATAAAGTAGCTTTAACTTTCGTGTGTATTATTAGGTGCTCATGATGTCAGAACCTTTGCAGGAAAACAGTGCATTACAAATCTTAATTGAAAAAAAAAAATCAACCAATTAGATTGATTCAATGGCTTGGGTCAGGGCCCAGCTACATGATATCAGCAGGAAAACAGCCTGAAGATGTCAGGAGTCGGGTCTGTAAACGACTGATGACCGTTTTATCTAATCTAGCATATGGCTGACAACAATCAGTGCTGCACCTTGGACTGTTCACCATGACCTAAGAATACATTTGGCTTCAGACTTTTAAAACATATCCACACTACGGGCATCCAAAGCGCTTTTCCATGCCAACACAGCACGTTTGCCACCATCTTTGTGGTGCTTCGCCGGCACCACTTTCTGGTGATATCACTCAGGTTGTGAAAAATGTGCAAGCTACGACTTGTCAGGGGACCAACGCATAGTCTGTCATTTGTCTCCCACTCTAATTACCTGATCTGACATCTTCTTAAACAACAGCATTGTGTAGTGTGAACCCCGCATTAAAGAGCTTTGTGAACCAGAGACTAATTTACAAAGGGGCCAGGACCTCACTGTTACAGCAGGGGAAGGTAAGACGTACGTGTTGTACCAGAAAACCTTGTAAATGTTAACAAACAGAAACTTCAACTTGTTACAAACCATTTAAAAGCCATATTAAACTGAAAACATTACAAATATCAAAACTATGGAATGGACTCATTAATTTAATATGAGATTTGAAAAATCTGGTGAAATATCTCACAATTAATTCTTTTTATTTATTTACTTTCCAAGGAGCCTCCCTAAGAAGCTAAGAGTCGATCGTTAACATGTTTTAATGTAACATAAAGTAAATAATTTGTGAGTTATATCAGAGAATCTGCAGAAATCTCTGATCTTCACCGCAGCACTGCATTATGACCTGTGACAAAGGTCATTTATTTCTGTTTTATTTTTATAGCACTCAATTAATATCAGATCATGAGTACAATAAACTCAGGTTTATCTCAATTTAGAAATGAGAAATTAGAAGTCAGGTCCTTAAAACATTCCAGCAGTTCAACTAATTGATCTGGCTTCATGGATAGATAGAGTCGGGTATCATCTGCATAACAATGCAACTAAAGGAAGCGTGGTCCTAGCACAGAACCCTGCAGGACTCCAGAAGAAGACTGCCTACTTACATGAACAAACTGGAGGTAATTCCTTGTAACTTGCACATCAGTGAAGGCCCCACTAATGCTGAATAATATGCACAGGTATTGGCACAACAACAAGGAAAGAATACACAACGAGTGTTGTTAATCAACAGCATCCTAATACTGTCAGCGGCTTGAGGCGACTGCTGTGGTGATTTGGCGCTTTATAAATAAAACTGAACTGAATTGAATCCTGAAGTCCAGACTTGCCTCACAGTGAAAACATCTGAGCCAAAAATATAAAAAAGAAGGACTCCAAGCAGCTGAAATCCTAAGCTTTGGCTTTCTAAATAACAGCAGGAGGTCTTCTAAGTTGCCAAATATTTACTGAGTGTTGTCAAAGGTTACAAAAAAAATGCCTCAATTCTTAAATAAACTGTTTCTTTAAATGTAGAAAAGACTGAGATCTGTGGCTTTGTTTGTTTACTCTACCTCTGACTGTCCTGTTGTTACTTTACCCAAAGACAGTGATGCTGACTTTTACAAAATAATACACAGTTTGACTCATCAGGAGCTCCATATTCAATATCCAATTCAGATAAGCATCAAACTATAGAATGAAAACAGACTGAAGATATTAGCTGGACTCATAACTGGCTTTGTTAATAAAACTCATTTTGTTAATATCTGGTCTTAGCTGTGCCGTGTCCTCAGAAAATGAATGCTTCATGTCTTCAGGTCTATTTTGGAAAACAGATCTTCTTCTCAGAGAGATAATCTGACTCAGTAAAACTCATAAACCCTGAACCACAGCCAGCCTGGCGCAGCAGGACCCAGGATGGAGGGGCTGATGGGAAGTCTCTGTAACGTACTGCTGCTATTTTACTGGTTTGTCACCAGAGTTCATCTACAATTAACCACTTCTCATCTACATATACTGATTATTACACAAAGTGCTGCTATTAATTTACTTCTGTCCTCTGGTTAACGTATGGCAGCTCGTATTAGTGTCGGTCATTACGGCTTGTTGCTGTCTGATTGCGTTGCCATTTGCTCATGAGTAGCTTGCGTCTTTCCTACAGTGTATGTGCTACATGTGTATGGCAATTGATGGGTGTCTGCCAGTTACAACCTGCCATTCAAATTAAATATGGGTCATTTTGGTGGACATGCAAACACTAAAGCCCCACGAACGTTACAACAGAACACCCCAGTTACAGCCATCGGGTCTCCATAACTGATTGTGTTCTTGCTCAGGGAAATGCAGCTAATGACTCAGTTCACTGTCATTAAGCTGCCATTTATTTCCTCAATTAATCAATGATGTGTTTGACACAGAAAGGTGGAAAATTCAGTCATAAATACCCAGTTAAAAGCAACAATTAGAACAAAGACAAGCAGAAATGTTCACATTTTAAAAGCTGGAACAAATGAAAGCAGCCATTTTTAAAAGGTTTGAGCAAAGCTGTTGAATTTCCAACAAATCGAGCTCTGTCACTATTTCATGCCTGAGACTGAAATGTTTTATCTGGCACAACAATTCTGGCAGCTCTTACAGACGAGATTGATTTTGAAATATATCTGAAATGTTTTTTGTTTGTTTGTTTTTTAAAGCAGCCCATCCTAGCAGTCGCACCCCTGTGGCAATCAAAACCCCGGGAGTGTGATTTTTCCTGTGAAGCTCGGGGAGGACACCGAGCATTTTGCACTTCATTGTGTGTTTATCTCCTGCAGTGTCACTGCAACAGTGCCATTCATCCCTCCGATGCATTAGTAGCCTGCAGCTGTGTTTGGTTACCGGGATGAAGCTTGGTTTACATGCTACAGTCATTTGCTGGAGAAAGCTGCAGGCGATCAGATCCTGAACATTAAGAACCAGCAGACTGCGCTCACCTCCCACTTCGGGCTAATTAGAAAATTAATGATGTCGCTAAAATCTCCAGCACAGGCGGAACGCTTTTCTCTGGTTTTGTGCAACAGGGTCTGCAGATCAGAAGCCTCTGCAGCAGCCGCCCTGCCTTAAACATCAGATGTGTGTAACACAGATGTTAACCACCAGGATCAGGTGGAACAATCGCGTCTTTTTCGCGTTACCTTCATGTCTCCAATGACAGTCTGGAAAAGCCCCCCCAGCGCGCTGCACTCCCTCTCCATCATCGTCTCCATCTTCAGCTGTGTGAACGGAAATTACAAACACGCTCACTCGGAGCTTCTTTAGTCCATAAATGAAGCGTCGGGAAACAAACGGGCTTCACAGGGAGGGAGAGAGACGCTGTTCGGTGCGGATGTAAGCGCTCACACTTGCGCTGCAGGGTTTCCCCGGCTGAAGGAGACCAGAAGGCGGACAGAAGCAGGAGCGCAGGAGCCGGTCGGTGTCCACTCGGAACGCACAAATCCCATTTCAGCCGGAGGAGCAGAGACGCGCCAGAGCGGGGAAGCTCAACCTCACACACCAACCTGCTCCTCTGACACAGCTGAAGGAGACACGGCCCGGGAGTGCGCTTGGAAGGTCGTGGACGCGCGTTCCCGTGGCCCCGCCTTCAGCACAGGAAGGTTTTTTCTTAATGGAAAGATGAGGGTGTTGTCTTTGTGATAGCGCTGGGAAATGACTGCACAATATAAAGCTAGTGACACAGAAACACAAAGGACCCAAATAACTGCTCAAGTATGACAACCAAAGCCATTCTAAACAAAAGACACGCCGAGGCCTGCAATATTAATATTTTATTAGAGAAAATGTGCTAAAGAAATGTCACAGAAAGGCATGGCTCTGTGACAAAGAACAAACAGTCTAAATTATTTCATATTGATACTTAGTCTTTTTTTTACAGATCACAAAAGAGTTAAATTATTGTTAAGTGGAATAATATATGAAAAATGACCGTATTTAACATTACAGAAAAATCTGTTCTGTTCAAACATGTAAAAGAAAAATAATATCAGTAAAACAAATGTTTTGTTTCCAGCATTTAAATCTAAAGAAGGTAAATTGTGGTTTGTTTGCTAGAACTAGACGAGTAAAAACAGGATATTTAAAAGAATTAGTCATTAAAATATTTATTTGGGTTATTGTCAGTCTGCAAGTGAAGTTGTCCTTCATGCAAAACTTCTAAATGCAGCCACACAAAATAATAACCTACTGATCTGGGTTCTTGAACAATTAAAGTTTCATTTCATTACGAGCTCGTGATTTAAAGAAATAGAAACCTGAGTAGGACAGATATTTAAAATTATACCGCCCCCTAGTGAGTGTTTCGTGGATCTACAGGAAACAAAATCACAAAGATGAATCTTCATCTTTTCTCATGAACCAGTCTGACGCTCAGTCTGTGAGGTGAGGTGTGTTTCAGTGTTTTCATCTGTGAACCTGGTTTGCATATTGTTCCACACACTCATATATACACGTCATACATTCATTTACATGTGCATTAATATAAGTGCATGTGTATGTTCACAGTAACGAGAGCAGCCAAAAAGGAGATTAAAGAAAATGCAATAATGAAAATTCACAGTGAACCCACATTTTCCATAAAAGATATTAATGTTGAAGCATGAGCATAATTTATTAAACAGAATCATTTATTTACCAGATTTCAGTCCTGGATAGAGAGTGGACTAACAACACTCCATCCCTTCACACATAAAGGGACACTACAGAGTTTTCAATCTTTACAAACAAGAACTGGCCTAAGACAAGTAGGTTTCTTCAGGTTCCTTCAAATGTGGGATTATTTTAACAAACATTGCAATATCCCAAACCCAAACTCGGTTGAGTCAGAAATGTTTAAGATAGTTAAATGAGCATGTGTTGGTTCTCTGAGAAAGGCAATCTGCAAACTATATGATGTGCTTCTCAGCCCAGGAAGGATACTACTCAAAATATTAAGATTAAATGGGAATTGGAATCAGGGATGGGTGAACAAACGAGAACTGGGAGAGGATTTGTAATTTTCATTGGTACTCAACAAGTTCATTAATTGGAGAGACCACTGCTGGAAGAACATTATTCGATTTTTCTAAAGCCCTCATCAAACTAAATATAAAAATGGGACAGCAGAATGCTGGAGAAGATGTGGATCAGAAGAGGCACATCATTCCCATATCTTTTGGGACTGCCCTAACTTAAATAATCACTGGCTGGGAATTCATGAGACTCTGTGTGAGGTCTTTAAGATAAAATTTGATATTAATTTTGTAAATTTGTACTTGGGCCTGGTTGCTGGCTTGGTCCGGGGAGGGGACACAAAGCTCTTACAAGAGGTATTAGCAGCCAGCAAAAAATTAATAACCAGGAAGTGTCAAATCCAACTCCACCAACACTTGATTGGTTTAAGGTGGTTTTTGAAATATAAGACCAGCTCTGAATTGGTGTATCTCCCATGTACTGTACAATGTCAGGTCGACCATCTACTTCATAATTTATACCTAATGTACTTTATGTAAATAAGTTAAACATGCTGGATTATGTAAACACTGTCAAGCACCGAGATCACTTTTTGTTACCTGAATGTAAAACAAAAGGAATAAGAAAGTCTTTTTTTCCCTCAACTAAATGATATCAATGCACTTTATTGTAGCAAGTCCTTTTTTTTCATAATATATAATAAAAAAAAAGTATAAATTACTGTCAAAGTGAAGTTCATAAATGAGTTTATTATTAAAGTTTGCTACAATTTAAATGAGCCGGACACCAAAGAAAGTTTGGTCAGTTGAAGTCTTGTGCAGTGATTTCTTTTGTCTGTGTCACCCTGACGTCACCCTGACGTCTGACTTCTGGTGTTCATGGAGGTTGGAGGACATCTAATGGTCAAATATAGTCAGTGAAGCTTTGGCAGAAAACAGTATGAGAAAAAGCAACAACACACAGTGGATTACATTATCCATGTAACCACATAACAAACATTACAATCACCTCTTGGTAGAGATGATTGTAAGAGCATTCTGTTTTCTGTAGTTTGAACTATCAAGATGAGATACTGAAGCAGAAAGAACAGAGCATTCACCTCCACCCACCCATAACGGGTCATGTTTAGTCTTTACATCTTACTGTGAGCTGTTTTATATTCTTTGACCTCTGAGGACTCTATGAGAGAACACACTACACAACTAGAGAAGTAGAGAACTGTTACAATCTTGTGTCTTTGTCTCTCTGGAGCCGTTAATTTGAAAAATCCTGTCAGTCACTAGAATTTTAACGCGATAGCATTTTCCAAGATGGCCGCCTCTTCCAACAGAAGAAACAGCTGCAAACTTCAAGAAACTTCAAGAAAAAAGTAAGAAATAGTAAAAAATAACAGATGTTAAAAAATACTATTGGATTAGATATTCAGGTGGTGCAGTAGCACTGTTGTCTCACAGTGTGCAGTGCTCTTAATGGTATTTGAACATTAGTGTGGTGGTTAGAATTTCATCCAGGCCAGGGCCTTTCTGCACGGAGTTGGTATGTTGGTGTGGGTTCTCTCAGGATACTCCGGCTTCCTCCCACAGTCGAAAAACGTGCAGTGAGTGGGGTTGGGTTAGTTGGTGATTCTAAGCTGCTCATAGGGGTGAATGTGAGTGTGAGTGGTTGTCTCTCTCTCTGTGTTTGCCCTGCAACAGACTGTTGTGGTTCGTACCGTCATTTAGAAAATTCCAGTAATATAGTTACTGTTCTTGTTAATGATAAACTACAAATTTACCTCAAATTACTAAAATATCTATACTTAAGTACGAGAACTGATTCTAGAAAATAAATATCTGCTATTGAAAGAATCGATCATTATAGAAATTTTGTTTGGACTAATATTCAAACTTATTTCCAGTTTATTTTGTTTTCTTTAAACCACAGGATGGCTGTTTTCTAGTCTTTACCATTGGATTATGTTATTTTATTCACTGATCAGGACTTTGTACATGGTGTACTCCTTTTAATCTATTTTATCTAAAGTTATCTTTCTTTATAGCTTATTTTATTTTCTAACTATTATCAATTAATTTTTTGTAATGTTTTACTCATTCAAATTTGTAATTAATTTCTTTGATTTGTGTTGTTAATTATATGTCAGTTATTGAAGCATGTCATTTCTTTTATTAGCTTTTTAATCATCTTTGAAACACTTTGTTCAATAGAGTTTGACTGATTTAAGCAGCTACATCTGCCTTGGTTGCTTTACATCTGCTGCCTTGCAAACCGTAGCCTTTCATGCAGTTTCTGACTGGAGGTTTCTTCCTGTTAAAAGGGAGTTTTTCCTTCCCACTGTCATCAAAGTGCTTGTTCATAGGGGCTCATAATTGTTGGGTTTTTCTCTGTATGTATTATTATAGGGTCTACCTTACTATATAAAGCGCCTTGAAGTGGTTGTTGTTACGATTTGACACTGTTTAAATAAATGAGGGAGTAAAAGATCCATAAAGCAAATATATGTTACTGCAGATGAACTGCAATGCACTTTTGACTAAAGTGCATTTTGATTGAATGTAAAGCAAAGCCCACAACACTGTACTGTAAACGGTGTGCTACAAAATATCTATAAAAAGTTTTACAATAAATGATATCTCTAAAGTATGGTAAAACCCCCAAACAAGCAACAGACACTACGAAAGCTGAAAATGGAAAACCAACAGCGAGTTCATTGGAGCTGGGATCGGATGGTGAAGCGTCTCCTGCAGTCAAAGCTGTGTCATTTTGACCACACAGACTCGCTGCTTAATGACAGGGAGAAACACCACACACACAGGAAGTCAGTGTCCAAAAAAACAGCACTGTCATTATCTCCCCAAACTGGAGATGACTAAGCTAATAACAGCTATCAGAGGAGGAGGGGTGGGACGCTGTTTGAGCAAGAAGCAGCAGAAAAGTGAAAAGACAAGAAAGTAGCATTTGATGATACATCCATGAGATATGTATATTAATACTCAAGACTTTTTGTCCAAAGACAAAGCAATAGTGAATATTCTCTACAGAATAAAAACACTTTAATCCGAGTCTGTTAATACAGTTTACTTTTAAGGCACAAAAAGACAACACCTGATACTGACAGTGAAGGCATGATCAAAGTTCACAACTGGGCCCCAAAAACAAGACACCCACACCTTTCAAAGCTATAATCGCTGCTTGTGCTTTGAATTGCCTTAGTTTATGCTAATCCCTAATAGTGACCACCTGCTTGGCAGACTACCACCATTTTCCGTTTAGCATCTGGTTGGTTGTAGTCCTGACTGGACTGTAATTTTTGCCATTGATAGAAGGCATTAAACTGCCATGTTTCCACCCCTTGTTCTTGAAGTGAAAATTGTGGTTGTGAACCCTGAACACTTGGGGAAACATTAAAGCTAAGCAGGTTTGCTTTGCTAAGCTACACAACTGTAAGATAATTACAGTCTTTGGGGCTTAAGGCCTGAGAGGAATTTTATGTTTAACTATTTCAGGGGGGAAATAAAAGTGCCTTTTGTGCATCAGTTTGTATATTGCAACATTATGGTAGCAACAGTACAAACCTAGATCTACTGAGCAGCTCAGTTTATCATGAGAGCATGCATAAAACTGAACAAACAGGAAGTTTTAACAATAGCCAGGGACTGCAGCTCTGTGCACTTTATTAATTTAAGAAAATCTGATGCCATGCCAGAACGAGCTGCAGGTGAGGCCAGAACCTGAGGAGAGAAAAATAAATGGAGTTTTTATAGCTTCTTAGAAACAAAACAAATACAAATAAAAGACAACCATTCAGAAATACCTATTGCTAACATCTGTTGTAGATGGGTGCCTGTTGCTGTGGCCACCTGTAGAGATTTCTTAATGAAACTGGAATGGGTCTGAAACTTCTTGGGTCAGCCAAGTCCCACATGCCAGATTTGGTTTGCAGCACACCTCCACTTGGAGAGTTGGCTTCACTGCCCTGGAGCTTGCTGACTTCGTAGCGTGGCTGCTGGGGGAAAGGCTGAGGCTGGGCCTGGGGCTTGCTGGCCTCGTAGTGTGGCTGCTGGGGGAAAGGCCAAGGCTGAAACTTACTGGACTCGTCGCCCAACTGTTCACGCTCGGGTTGTACCTGGGCATGGAGCTTGCTGGCCTCGTAGCGTGGCTGCTGGGGGAAAGGCAGAGGCTGGGCCTGGGGCTTGCTGGCCTCGTAGCGTGGCTGCTGGGGGAAAGGC